GTTTCTTACATTTAGCACATTGTTTTAAATGTGACAATCATTAAATTTTAGAAGATATATGATTAAAACTATAAAGAAAGATTTGTTTAAAAATGTATTTCTGAGTCTAACTTCATGCTGTTATGTGGCCCAGAGTGGCAACACGTGGCTGAGACCTAACCTGCAGGTTTCAGGGAGTGGTGAGAAAGGAGAACTTGGTGACTATGAGAGACTCTCCCTTGCACACACCACACTTTCCATCCTTCCCTCTTTGTTGTTCATTCTTTCCCAAATTTTCAGGTGCCTGACTAGAAAGATTAGTATATCTTCAGAACATAGTATTGAATCAGCCTATGGAAAATTAATGTAATTATTATGTTCATTTCCAGATGTTGGCTTAATGCCAGCCTATTAAAACTTTTAAAGATGAAGCTTAAAACAAATAATCATTCTGAGGAAACACCCAAATGAAGACACGCCAGCAAACTCAGTGATGATCTGAGGCGATGGTAAAAATCTCCAGAGGGTATTTCAGAAATTGATTATCTCCATCACAGACTGGTATCGGCAGTCAGAATTTCCTTAGCCCTCTTCAGCCTTTTCTTTCTAAAGAGCCTCCAAATTCCTTGCTGCTCCTGGTCCTTAGCCTCTTTCCATTGGTCTTTCTTGCCTGTCCACCTCCAACTCTCTCCCTAAATCGTCTATGACATCCTTGTGATGGTTAATATTGAGTCTCAACTTGGATTGAAGGATGAAAAGTATTGTTCCTGGGTGTGTCTGTGAGGGTGTTGCCAAAGGAGACTAACATTTGAATAAGTAAACTGGGAGACTCAGATCCACCCTCAATCTGGGTGGGCATCATCTAATCAGCTGCCAGCATGGCTGGGATAAAAGCAGGCAGAGGAATGTGAAAGGACTAGACTGCTGAGTTTTCTGGCCTCCATCTTTCTCCTACACTGGATGCTCCCCGCCCTCAAACATCGGACTTCAAGTTCTTCAGCTTTTGGATTCTTGGACTTATACCAGTGATTTGCCAGGGGCTTTGGGCACTTCGGCCACAGACTGAAGGCTGCACTGTCAGCTTCCCTACTTTTGAGGTTTGGGGACTCGGACTGGCTTCCTTGCTCCTCAGCTTGCAGACAGCCTATTGTGAGACTTCACCTTGTGATCCTGAGTCAATACTCCTTAATAAACTCCCTTTCATATATACAGCTATCCTATTAGTCCTGTGGTTGTAGAGAACCCTGACTAAAACAATCCTCCTGACCGTACTGTGGTATCTCACTACATCTTACACAGAGGGCTGGTTTCCTATTCAGGGTATTGAAATTCAAAGGAAAAAAAAAAAACCTCTCCTTTTGTTCAGAAGGGTCTCTGCTCCCTCCTCCTGCCTTCCCTGCACCTCACAAGGAGAGGCAGAGTGGCCCTGAAGCCACACTGTCCTCACAGCCCTGCCTTGGATGGTGGGCCTCTACTCTTTGCTCTCCTATATCCTCAAGCAGTTTCCTGGGCTGTCAGAACCTTGGTTTTCTCATTTATAAAATTTTGGATAATCATACCTATTTCCTTGGATTGATGGAATAAAAAGGATAACTTACATACACAGTGGCTGGCACATTATAGAGGCTCAATAGATGGTACTGTAATTATTAACTCTAGGCATTTTACTACATTTCATCTTCTAAGTTTTTTAGCCTCTACCCATAAATTATTGGTATGGTTGAAATAATTCTCCCTGCCCTTTAGAATGGCTTAACTTTTTTTTTTGTTCCTGATTCAAATTTTTGTTAAATCCCTGGATTCCTGAAAAGTGAGAGGTACAAGAACTCAATGACTAAACACAATGTACCATCTCGCAGTAGAGTTTGTTTGGTTCTAAAAATGACTAGGGAAGAGAAATTCTTCAATTTCATGGGATTCTTGGGGGGTAATATTCAAGTGTTACAAAAATTATTCTTAATTTAATCTTCTTATTCTTAATTATACTCCTTATACTGGGCTAAAAAATTGTATTCTTTTTTTTTTTTTTTTTTTGAGACGGAGTCTTGCTCTGTAGCCCGGGCTGGAGTGCAGTGGCCGGATCTCAGCTCACTGCAAGCTCCGCCTCCCGGGTTCACGCCATTCTCCTGCCTCAGCCTCCGGAGTAGCTGGGACTACAGGCGCCCACCACCTCGCCCGGCTAGTTTTTTGTATTTTTAGTAGAGACGGGGTTTCACCGTGTTAGCCAGGATGGTCTCGATCTCCTGACCTCGTGATCTGCCCGTCTCGGCCTCCCAAAGTGCTGGGATTACAGGCTTGAGCCACCGCGCCCGGCCAAAAATTGTATTCTTTAAATATTAATTCAAGCTTCTATCTAGTGATTTTTAAGTCCAACTGCTTAGTTCTATATGGCCAAGCTACACATTTCTAGTCTGTCATAAGTGAATTTCTAATTATATTTCTCCCCTATTTCTTCACTTCCTGGAGTCTGTTCCTGGACTGAGGCACCAATGGTAAAATGATGGGGATAACTTTTGAAAACCAAAAATAAAATTCTAAGTCCCCCCTCAATCATCTGAATGGACTTCCTCCTCAGTCAGGGCACTCTTAAAATGTAACCTGAAAGACTGGTTCAGGCCAAGATGGGAAGTGGGGATTGAACATGCCTCATTATACCTCTCCAGCATTAACATCAACACAGACTTTAAGTCTGATAAGAAACATTTTACAACCTAGTCTCTCTGAAGCCTACTACCTGAAGGCTTCCTCTGCAAATAAGAACTTTGGTCTCCACAATCCTTTATCTTAACCCAGATATTCCTTTCTATTAATCCCAGATCTGTCGAGAAACTCAACCAATTGTCAATCAGAAAATTTTTAAATCTACCTATAAGCTGGAAGCCCCCTGCTTCGAGTTGTCCTGCCTTACTGGACCAAACCAATGTATTTCTTTTTTTATTTTATTTTATTTTTTATTATACTTTAAGTTCTAGGGTACATGTGCACAATGTGCAGGTTTGATACATAGGTATACATGTGCCATGTTGGTTTGCCATCAACTCATGATTTATATTAGGTATTTTCCCTAATGCTATCTTTCCCCCAGCCCCCCAACCCACAACAGGCCCCGGTGTGTGATGTTCCCCGCCCTGTGTCCAAGTGATCTCATTGTTCAGTTCCTACCTGAGCGAGAACATGTGGTGTTTGTAAACCAAAGCATTTCTTAAATGATTGAAGTCTCAGGTCTCCCTAAAATGTATTAAATATAAAAGCAAGCTGCACCCTGATCACCTTGGGCACATGTTCTCAGGTCTTCCTATGGGCTGTGTCAGGGACCACGGTCATTCATATTTGGCTCAGAATAAATTTCTTCAAATATTTTATGCAGTTTGACTCTTTTTTTTTTTTTTTTTTTTGAGACTTTAGATAACCCATTTACATCATTCAAAATTATTAGCTTCCAAATCACACTCAGGAAACATAGCTGAGATTCAATGTCAATAACTTCAGTGGCCTGAGATTTTATTTTTAAAATAATGATGTCTATTGATGTTAAACTTTAATAAACAAGCACTGATAGCACCAATTTTTGAGAAGTAAATAAAATTAGCTTCTACAATACTTTAAACAAATCTAAAATTAAACTGGAATTCAGTCTCAACTTGTTCATATTTATTCCTCCTATGAGATGAAATCCAGGATTGGTCAAATCATTATAATTAAGCATTATTATTCTGGACAGTAATCCAAATAAATAAATGTAAAAATTAAATACTGATAAACAGTCTTGTACATGTTTCGTAAAAGTGTGACTATTAAAATTGATGTACACAGCTATATATGTGTCCTTATCTATTGTTAATGTAAATAATTATCTCCAAATGTATTAATGATTTTTTTCAATGCACATTTTACAGTTGACAGCTACAATTTTGGGGAAAATTGATGGCTATTTCTGAGCCATAGATAAAAGTGTTTACACCTTGTCATAGATCATTTTGTGCTGCTATAATGAATAACATATTCCATAGTACCTGAGACTGCAATTTATAAAGAACAGAGATTTATTTCTTATGGTTCTGGAGGCTGGGAAGTCCAAGGTTAAAGGGCTCACATCTGGTGAGGGCCTTTTTGCAGTATCCTCACATGGCAGACAGGCACAAGAGCACACATGAAAGAGCAAGAAAGGGCAAGAGGGGGGCCAAACCCACATTTAGCTGGAACCCACTCGCATGATAATGGCATTAATCCATTCAGGAGGGTGAAGCCCTCATGGCCTAGTAATAGGCACACCATCTTTCTTAATAGTCTCACCTCTTAATATTGTCACAGTGGCAATTACATGTTAACATGAGTTTTAGAGGTGACATTCAAACCACAGCATACTGGATTCAGTGGCATATCATGACTCTGAAGCATCCCCTCCAGGGATGTACCCTGAGGTTTTTCAAAGGCAACTGCCTCTTAAAAAAAAGGTTTTCTTGCATTGGCTCTTGGAGGACTTGTTTTATTTCTTTAATTATTTCAAGTTTAAAATAATTTCACATCTCATTTGACCATTCGTGGTAGTGTTCTTTTTTTCTTTTTCTGTGATGTTATTAATAGAGTTGTCTGTGTTTACAATTTGTATCTTTCTTGTGTCACTTTCCCACAGAACATATATTTGTCTGCAATTCCCTTGGATTTCTCAGAGCAAGCATTATTTAGAATATCTGCATCAGGTCTATTCCAAGTTCCAGGGAAAAACTCATTTAATTCCAATGAGAGGGTAGAAGTAATGTTAACAGGGATTCAAAGAGTGAGAAATTGTACATTTTTGCCTATACATGCAGTTCCCACTTCTTGCTGAATTCATATGATTAATTTTCTTTGCGATTTATTCAGTCATTTTGTTTACTATATTACTGCAAAATAGAAAAGTAAGATCTGGGGTTTTCAATGATCTTAACTTATGCTGTAAGTGACAAAACGTTACCTGGTCATGGCTCATCTTTTTTTAGGTGTTTGTAAAAGCTATATTCCTGGTATTTTTGTGAGCTTACCTTGTCTGACGGCTAGTGTGGTGGTATAGACCAAGAAGAGAAGAATGTAATTGAGGAAACTCTGGAAGACTGGTGTGTTGGCATGGAAATCTTCTGACAGATACTTGCTAGTCAAGCCAATTCCACAAATAAGGAGGGATAACACCTGGCCCAGGGCCACAGAGATTAACATCTCCCTGAGAAATAAAGAAAAAAAAACAGCAAAGGTCAGCAGGAAGCCCATTAAAACAACAGCAGTTAAAATTTTTTGAGCACTGGTAGCATGCACTGGATTAAGTGCAATTAAATATTATTCCCTGTAGTCCTTCACAGCAATCCCTTGAGGAAGGTGCAATGATTACTGAGATTTTACAGAGAAGGAAACCAGAGCTTAGAGTGGTTAAGGAGTTTGCTCACAGTCATGTAACTAGGAAGTGGCAAAAAAACAGGGATTTGAGACCAACTCTCTGAAAGAGCCTGGCTTCTAGCTACTGACCTCTCGGTGCCAATGGGAGTGGGGAGTAGGTGGGGAAAGAACATCATCTTGATGCTCACCATAGTATTAATGAAATATTTAGTGATGGCGAGACAGTACCTGAACACTGACTAGGAGGGACCATATTTCCGCCTCATCCTCAGGTTCTTGTACCAATAAAGGGAGACTCTTTTCTTTATAGATTGAAATCCCAGATCCAGAAACCCCTGTGTGAAATGGCTATACACTATACATATCCCTGAAAACCAGAAGGACCATCTGCTGTCCATTCCCAGACTCTAGAACTCAGTTTGCTCTAGGAAGCTTTGATGAGCATTAGGTGTCTGCTCTCTTCTGCTCAAGTTACAATTGCCTACACACTAAAACTGCTATTCATGAAGGAGATTCAGTACTGTGATGATGTAATACAACCTTTCAAATAATGCCAATTTTTTTGTGGCTTTTTCATAGGCACTGCCCCTATAGACCTCTGTAGCGGGGACTACAGGCAAGGTTCAAGGCGTTCATTTTGCATACAAATAAAATGCCCTCACAACCTTTATGGTCACATACACCCACATGCTTTTACACAGAAAAAGCCCCTGGAAATACAAAGCAGATTTCTGCACTCCCTGAAAGTCGCATCTGACTTGTCTGGTTTATTTATAGAAAGAGTAATATGATAGAAGCAAGCAGTAGTATTTCTTTCAATAAAAGTTTTATTTTTAATTGACATAATAATGGTACATACTTATGCAATACAGTCTTGTGTTTCGATACATGTTCACATTGTATAATAATCAAAGCAGAACAATTGTCAGATCAAAAATTTATCATTTCTTTGTGGTGAGCACATTCAAAATCTTCTCTTCTAGCTCTTTTGGAATATACAATACATTATTGTTAACTATATCACTCTAGTTTGTAATGCAGCATTATTTCTAAACAAAAAGCTTTAGGCAAAGGATTTGCGGTGTTACATATTTAGTCCCCCATAACAGATGTGAGTCCAATTTTCTGGAATGAGCACAGAGTCCTGGGCAGTACTTTGGTTGTATTTTGCTTTAAAAAAGAAAAAACATCAGCTATATTTTGTTCATTCCATCTGCTTCCAAGAGGAGGAAAAACTGTGGCAAGGCATGTGGGCATGCAGAGAAGAATTTTCTGAGGTTAACCTATTTCCAGGTACCGGCTCCTGACCTCTGAATTCAATCTCTATAAAGAAGCCAAATACATACTTTTAAACATCCATGTTTAAAATGTCAGTATGCTGCTTAAAAATCTTACAATAGTTCCCTACAGAATGCAGAGATCTATAAGGTCTGTATTGAACATCTGCAAAGATGCCTGCCGACATAGCCTTTACATTCCTGCTGCTCTGCCCAAAGGGAGGCAGGGGTCTCTTTCTCCTTTTCTGGAAGCTGAGCTGGTCTTGGGACTTCCTCTGACCAACAGAACATGGGGGAAGGGATGTCATGTGACTTCTGGGCCTAAGTCTTATAAAGCTCTACAACTTCCATTTTCTGCCCTCATAAAATATAGCTTCCGTGTACTTCAGTTTTGAGAGACCATGTGAAAAAAAGAGAAATCCAGCCAGCCATCACTGTCCTGACATGTGAGTGAGGCTTCTGGATTCTCCTGCCCCAGTCAAACCATGCCAACATATGCCACCATGGAGCAGAGATGAACCACCCCGAAAGATTGCTGCCTAATTGAAGAACTGCGAGAAATAATACATGAGGCTGTTTTAGGGCATGCAGATGTACAATGACTTGTTACATGGCCAACAAATAACTGAAATCATGTCCTAAACACTCTCCCTCTATTCCCACCACCTCTGGAACATGACCCTCCGTTTCCCTGTATTACTCCTCCATGACGCATTTTCAGCCTTACAGAGCTACTTGCACTTCAGCAGTGAGTCATGGTCTTCTGTGCCTGCAGTCCCTTGCATGTGTTATTATTTCCAAAATGTTCATTGTGCCTTTGCCAGTGTGACTCTTACGCATCTTTCAAGATTTGGCTTCTATGCCACTCCCTTTGAGAAGTGTTACCTGTCTTCTCTTCCCTGGGATGCATCTCTTTGTTACTTCTATCTCATTGTATTGAAACTAATGCCTTTACACTTCTTGCCTCAGCTGGACTGTGATGCTTGTACTATGTTCTTCACTGTATCTACAGCCAGGCAGTACCATTGAAAGGAAGTAGAAAAGTAGACAGTGCAGAAGCAGCCTAGGCAACACGAAACAGTTTGTTGGAATAAAGGGGGTGATTAATAAAAGAAAGAAAGAAAGGTAGAGTTAAAAAGGAGTACCAGAATTAACTCAAATGATTTTAAAGGCTGGGTGCAGTGGTTCACACCTATAATCCCAACACTCTGGGAGGCTAAGGTGGGAGGATCACTTGAATCCAGGAGTTTAAGACCAGCCTGGGCAACATAGTGAGTCTTCATTTCTACAAAAAATTTAAAAAATTATCCAGGTGTGATGGCACGTGCCTGTAGTCCCAGCTCCTTGGGAGGTTGAGGCAGGAGGACTGCTTGGGCTTGGGAGGTCAAGTGTGCAAGTGAGCCATGATTACACCATTGTACTCAAGCCTGGACTACAGAGCAAGACCCTACCTCTTATAAAAAATTAAAGGTTTCTAAGACTGCCTAAGATAAGTATAATATCTACTGACAAAAATAATGATAAGGAGCTGGTTTTAGTGGAGAAACAATACATATTTTAGGTATAGTGAACTTGAGATGCCAGATGAACTTCCAAATGATCCAGCAGCATTAGTAGCATGGGATCGGAGTGGGATATGGAGGTCAACCAGGAGATAAATATGCAGAGGTTATACTCATAAAAGTGATGGTGAAAATACCGGAAATGGATAATATCCCCAAGAAAGGGAGAGTAGGAGAGAAAGTAAGAGAGCCTTGGGAAATATCTTTGGGGAATCCCAAGGTTGGAGGTGTATGAGGGAGAAGAAGCACATCACTGGAGTCGGAAGTGGTTAGAAGGCAAAGAGGAAGAGCAAGAGAGTTTTGGTGTTAAGGAAACCAAAAGAAAAGAGACATTCATGGATTGAATAGTTGTAATACTTGATGTTGCTTAGAGGGTAGAGAGAATGAAGACTGACAAGACATAATTTGTAGTCACTGTCATCCTTTAAGAGTTTTGGTTGAGTGGAGAGGAACAGAGTAGCACTGGTGTCATGAAAACCAAGAGAACAGAGAGTTTCATGGAGGGGATTAGCTAGTAGGGACTAAGTGAAAAGGAAATGGTGAGAAATTAAAGGTGTTGACTTTGCAGAGTTTTGAAGAATTCAAAAAATTCATGGAAGGAATTTGATATAGTCACCATGTAACAATATCAATGATAGTTAAAATAATAATGTTTAAAATGATTTAAAAATTAATTTAGCTTGTCCTATCACTGGATCATTCTTGACTATTTGCATAATAACTTACATTCCCAAATGGAAGAAATATTACTAGAGTTACAACTAATATATAAGAGTTGTTCTTGATGCTGAGTATGTCTCCTGGAGAATGCTATGTATGGAGAGCATCTCCTTGGGACAAGAAGGGTGAAAACTATTGCTATGACATGGATTCCTGCAGCTCTATAAATTACAACTATAGTGTTCAAAACTTTGGCAATATGCTATGCCTTTCCTGAACAAAATCACACCACAAATAAATGACAGATTACTTATATAAGAGAATACAATTTTAGTCTTTCTTATGTATATGCGCCAACATAGTATAAAATAGCATTCTATATGCCATACACTCTACATGTAAAGATGAACAAGACACAGTCCTTGTCACTGGAGAGCTACTAAACTAAGATTTTGGAGCTAGGTCCTCAAATAACTTGGTATAAAATGGAGCCAATTAAGCTAAAACAACAATAATAATTCATATTTAGTAAGTTCTTACTATGTGCCAAGCCATGGGCTTAGACTTACACATACTATCTTAGTTAATCCTCATAATAACCTTATAAGGCAGCTATTGATACTGTTTGATTTTATAGATAAGTTAACTGATGCTTAGAGAAGTTAAACAAGCAGCCCAAGGTCACAGAGCTAATAAGGGGAAGAGTTTGGATGCAAACTAGGTTATGTGGTTCCAAATCTCAACTTTTTAATTACTATGCTATACTACTATTTTGGTGGCAAAAATATACTCTGTGCCTTCATAGAGTGCAAGAACTTATACTTAGCAACCTAAGTGGTTGGTTTCCAGAAATATTCTAGAGGCAGTAAAGACAAAAACAAGTCTGGGACTGACCTTCTGATGAAAACTCTTGCATCAAGATATCTGTAATGTGTGCCTTTCAACAAGAGGTCAATACAAATCTATTCGTGTTTCTTCAGTCAAACAAAACATCAAGGCTGCTGTATTCAATTTCTGCTTTTAATTAGTGATCATGTCATTTAGCTGCTGCTGGTGTGATTTGATGGAGAATACAAATTATGGTTTTATTGGTCATGCTAATGAGCACGACATGTAAAACAGGAAGGAGTGAAAGGAATCTTTTATCAGATTAGTTCATGAGTCTTTTTCCTACTGCAGGGAGCTAGATATTGTAGCTATTGCAGGCTGCATATCTGAGCTAGTTCCTAGAGTCACCAAATAAATAAGTAAATAAAAATAGAAATAAACCCAAATGCCTAAATGTTGACACTCTGCTAACTATGCCCCCTGCCCTGCCATCTTGCCCTGAT